CCCACCCACACCCACACCCAACCCCGTCTAAAAAGTTCTTGACTGTTGCTCAGTTTATATCTTGTTACGACATATTCTAAAAAGAAGGAAAGAAAAGAATAGTAAAGTAAGCTAATATATGATACAACAGTTTTTAGTACACAATAAGAGAATAGGTAAATAGCATCAAAGACATGCATTATATAGTTGATTATGTTAAATCTTGCGTTTCGCTACAATAGAAATATTTCAAGAGTACATTTCACTTAAAAGATGTGCACTGATAAATTTCGAATTTTCAAATTTTAAATATAAATTTAAATCTTTCGAATTGAAAGTAGATTTATAAAGAAATACAATAAAGTGTGTATTTATTAAACATTTCTGATGTATCTTTCATCATACTAATTCATTTTGATAATGAATTATTACATGTAGAAAAAGAGAAACAATCAAATGAAAAGTCAAACCGTTACAATGTTCTAAAAGTTTTTGGTCTTTCTATCTTGTTTTCATTAGAGCAAAAAATACGATATTATTTTTCAATTAAACTTGAATAAGTCTGTATCTCTGAACTTGATATATAAGCCAAAACTGAGATTGTATGACTATCATGTAGTCGAAATTCATGATTCTAGCATATGCTTACTAAGCGGAATATCACATTTGTTTTTTCTTGATAATAACTAGTAAATGTTTAATTGTGTCATCTTACATTCATCTAAATGACATGCTCACCTTCGACGAAAACAATTGTTGCCGTTCCATTATCACAATAGTTTTAGTAAGTATAAAAGAAATATTTTTCAATAAATTCAATCCATATGAAAGTTCAATTGAGGATTTTAGTCCGTAGACCATTTTGTAGGTTTTTAATAATACTTCTATTATCGCATTCATATCTGTTGAAATGAATGATTTATGAAACCAAGGAACGAATTTATGTAATTATAGACATATATCATTATTTATTCATTTATAATAACAGTAAGGATAAGATAGTTTTGGTTTTATTTTAATCTAACATCAAGTCATGACATGATGATATCATAATGGGATTTCTTTCTAAAGCAGATCGAGCTATCAATTATTTTTTCATACAGTAAATTGAATTTCAATAATGAGACAAGGTGTATTTCATGTTTCTTCACGAAGGGAACCTCTTCAATGTTCTCTTTCGTACAATGACAAGTCATTTACTGTTGCATGTAAAGCTTAGTTAATGTCTTCCTTAATTTATTTGTTCATTAAAATCATGCAGTTCAATTATCACAAAAAATCTTATCCTAAAAAATATGATATGCTTTATTTAGAAAAAGATCCACAAGACTGTCTTAATTTCCATATTGTCGTTTGGTTTTTTGAATTTCATTTTGCTAGGAACTTTTACATCCTACTTTATTTTGCAAAACAACAAACTGTTGAGCAGCAGTAGAGCCTCTTATTCTTTCCATTGCTGTGCCTAGCATTTCAACAACATGACAATTTCGATATAAAAGTGGTAAACGAATAGATCCATATAGACGATGTAAATTGAATTGAATTAAATCTTGAACGTTAAGTGGTACACTCAAAAATAGAAATCCACCAGGTTTAAGAATACATGTTATTTTTATCATTGTCTGAAAATCACCATATGGATTCAATGGATCTCGATATCGAACAAGACCATCATGTTCAATACTACTATATGACCATACACTGTCAAATAACTGTCGCTGACCTTTATTATTCTGCTGTTGTTTTGCAAAATCCATTGGCGTTATTGTAAATAGACGAGGAGTACTCGAATGAATGGTTGCATATTCAATCGTTGTAACACTGGATGCATTATATTCAAGCAGTTCTGCTTCAATCCATGGATTTTCAGAACCAATAACAGCACATTTCTTATCTATAATAGCTAATGATGCATATTTGTATGGGTGTAGGTGTGGGTGTGTGGGTGTGGGTGTGGGTGTGGGTGTGGGGGAAGGGTGTGGGTATGGGTGTGGGTGTAGTTGAAGATTAGACCAACGCTTACACCCACGCCCACACCCACACCCTTCTTTAACAAATAATATAACTCGCCTCGTTTGTCATTTTGATCAACAAATAGCGATAGAAGAGTCACAATACTCATAAACATATCAAATCTGTCAGCCATAACACCTTAAGATTCTCAGAATCCTGGCTATTGCTCCATTGTTTATTGATGAAATTAAAGATTTGCATCAAAATGATCAATGAAGCGAGTTCTACAATATGTAAAAGAGGAAAGAAGACTGACACTTTAGTGGTTGACTATCTGTGGAAATGTTCTTATATGCATCTAAAATGTGAAATTTGTCGAAACTGTCTAATCTATTCTCATATAATGAATGACTAATTATATCTCGAAACGTTATTTTTCATGAGCTTTCATTAGGTATTAAACTCATCGCAAATGTTCAACCTAGTACAGTCTTAAACTTCACTTTTGCTCTAGATAGTAACATTTTTCCTAACAGAAAGTGATTTTGTAAGTTTAGCGTGTTTTCTTTCAATGTGATTGTATTTTGATCGACTTTTTCTCCTTTCTCATAGAAGCAAAATATTGTTTGGCACCGCATGTGCCTTTCCTGTGCGACCACATTCATGTACGTAAACAACGCTTGCGAGGAATGATTAAGATTATGTTTCATCACTTCTTTCATGGTTGACTATTCATTGTATTGACAGCGTGGCACAGAGTGAATAATATTGTAAATTTCCTTGGCTTACTATATAAATAAAAGTTTTCGATCTGGTGTGCTAGCGTAGAAATCAACTATACTTCAAATTCATCCGATTATTTACAACTTGACTCACAAACAATGTACAATATTTTTCGAATCTCACTGGTATTCGTGCTTATCATTACGGTTAATTGCCAAGGAGGTGGTGGTCGTAGCAGCAGTAGTCGCAGTCACAGTGGGGGTCGAAGTGGAAGAAGTAAGTTTCTACTCAATAGGAAGTCTTTGTCATATGCAAGCAGTACGAATAAGTGCACATGATGCATTTTTATGACGGTGTGACTAAGGTTTCTAAGAAAAAAATATAAACACTCCATAAGGAATATCGAACATGTTCCAAAACCAAAGGAGGATAATGTTTCTCCATATCTTCATTCTTTTTTATGCATCATTTTTTCATAATCTTGATCCGTACCACCTAATTGTAGGTCGATCGTATAGTGAAGGACAAAATTGTACGAATGCTACTTGCGTAAATCAGAATACTACTAAAACTTGGATTACAACAGCTGGTGTTTATTTCATAATCAGTGTGATATGTTGTTTGAAGTGGTGGTCAGGTAGACCGTTACGATCAAATGTTTCGTACGTTGCTTTATCTTCAAATGAAATTCATGAACAGGAATTCTATCCGTTTGAGTCGGGTGTATGGTCAAGTCAGTATTATCAATACGATGCATGGCATGGACCTCATCGACTCAGCCTTTCATTCGATTCTGAAACATTAAAAGTAACAGGTAACGGATTGGATGACATTGGTGATTACGAAGTTGAGGGCATTTACTCAGCAACAACCCACCCAATGGGTCTCACAAAGAAGTACCGAAAAGGCACTGGTGATCCATCACAGAATCTTGGACATTCTGTTACAATTCAAGTGACTTGGAATACGAATCAACGTCATTTCGAAGGCAAATGGTTTGTTAAAACGAATAAGTACAGGGGCGAGAACAAGTTTCAACTGAAATTCGAGAAAAGCTATGAAGCAAAAGAATAACGTAATTGTGGTCGAGTGTGTTAGCTTTTCTTTTGAATTTCTATTTTTCATATTTTCATAAACATAATGTAATAACTATAAAAAAAAATATGTATTTTTAATTAGAACTGGTTCCATTGAAATCTAATTAAGTCTGTTATAAAAACAACCTAATATATTAAATGTTGATGTGGGTATTGGTATGGTCGTGACTAGAGTTATCTACTTACACACATATTCTTAATCATATATAAGTGAACTATCTGAATACCAAGTGGAAACATTAGTGAGTTTTCGCAAAACATATATATTCGAAGCATAGGTCCAACATAACCTTATATGCCATGTGTGCTCGAAGTAATTTAGACAATAGCACATTTTTGTATGTCTTCTTCTTCATTTACAGCTACTTGTTAGTACTCTTGCCATGCCACTTTTTCTAGAACAGTTAGTATACTGAATGGGATCCTTTGTAGTGTTTTAAGCAGCTACACATTTTCTTTTTGTCTCTATAACATCATTCGATTAGTAATAGTGTTCTTTTTTTAGAGTATGGGATGCTTGCTAGATTCATGAAAGTCCATAAGGTGGAAGAATTCTAAGATGATAGATTGAAATAATATCATTCATAATTGCATCAAGGTGGAATCTACAGGCCCATGTCAAAGAACGAGTCCTTGAAAATTGAACAGATAGACGAATAAGCTATTTCATTACTTAACTCTTTTACGAAACTCAAAATGGTTTTTAAAAAACTCAACAACACTTATTGTCACGATTTTAATATCAAAAAACGACAAATTCATCTCATGATGTTATTTCCTAAAATAATATTCTCAATTCCACGAATTACACATTACATTTAGTTTACATACATAGAGAGAGACGTTCACTGGCACCATGCTTCTGTTTTTATAGTGTTTTCATCACTTTCTCCCTAAAGGAAATAAAAACATAAAACATTAAGATAAAGGAAAGAGACAAATAGAGTCTTGTTGCTGTTATTAGGGTGCGAGTGTGGTGGATGTGGCTATGAGTACGATATTTCTGTTTAACTATATCCACCCGCATACCCTCACTAGTCAATATTTTCAACCAACAAAATGACATTGTAGTTTTAGTTTTTGAAATAAGTTGTAAGAGAGTTTTACAACATTTAAAATCACATTTTTCTATTAGAATAGCAAAGAAAAATGCGAACTTATTGTGGAGACATTGAAATAGAAAAGCGAGTCTTTTTGAGTAGTACTTATCTGACATCTATTGACGAAATCCTTTAAGTGTTCATGAACGATGATTTCTTCGAAATAATTTACCATACATAGTATCATTGTTCTGAAAACTTTTCATATTTTCATTTCTCAACTTGATAAAACACTTCAAGTTTGACAAACACTGGTTCTAATGACTCAATTGTTTACGAAGACGTCAAGTCTGTGTTCTTTCATTCTTATTGGTTTGGTTCTTTCTCCCATTTATCCATTACCTTCCAAATATTCTAATGCTTCGGTTGTTTTTTTCCATTCGATCACCTATTCTTCTTAGTCAAGTTTCTTTTTTTCTCTGTGTTTCACATAAGTAATCGATTCTTTTCTTCGCAGCTTCATTTTTATTTATGCATAACATAACATATTTTTCGACAACTGGTTTGTATTTTTTTTTTGTACAATCAGTCAAGTGCCATCTATTTGATAGATCAACACATCTTTGACGTGAGTGTGAATGCGTGCAGGTAAATCGTAAATTTTTTACTTCTTGCATCGAAATCTTTTACTCCGACATTACAAACCAGTTACGTGTAAAGCGATCGAATGTTTCTGATTATTATAAGTTTTGATTAGATATGTGATGTTTCATCAGTTCTGAAATCATTTTCGTTTTTTCTGTATAACTTAGGGATATCCGAAGTTGAACAAATAGTAAAGACATATTTAAAGACTAGCACCGAAGTTATTCAAAACTTATTGAACTCAATTAACATCATTACCAAGAAAGAACACGAGTAAATAGCATATATTAAAACAATTTTATGAGATTTTTGAGTATCTCGTTTTCCTCTTAATTTTAAAAATATGTAAAATAATCTTGTTTTTTAATTTATCAAAGCATAAGTTAAAATAAATTATTGTATCTTACATAATACTATAAATAGAAAATAGACTTGATGTTTTCTTTTGTACTTTATTTCAATATAAAACAAAAATAGTTAGATTATAATTTGCTAAATAGTACCATCAAGGCCTATCCTATGGGAGATACCTGTCGGATCTCAAGTTGTGGACCGATGAGTAACACGATGGGATAGGCCTTAAGGGAGTTGTTTAGAAATTAATACTCTTTTTAGTTTCTAATTCAATAACGTACAAATGAAAACATGATTCATCGTTCCTACATTTAATTAGTATGTGAAATGTAATAATGTACTTTTACTTATTATTTGATTATTTAAAAATGAATATAATTTATATTTATCATAAATATAAAGAACTGAGGTTTACTCTATCGTAAAATAGCTAAGACGTTACACATTGAATATATATCCTCAACGAAGTAGGTTTGACGCTTTTATTTTCGTTAAGTTTAAACACGTTTTTCTTCTTGGTTGTCTGATCAAAAAGAGGCCCAATTCTTATACAAAGAAAAAAGCTTGTGTTTCTTTTTAATTATATTTATTCTAGTTACACAATACATAGAATCAACGTAAGATCTTCAATCTACAAACAGTATGGATGACAATGATTCCAAAACAAAGCTTATTTCGCCTAAGAGCGTCACTGTTACAAAGTCAACAACATGGTCTGATACCGTCCATGTGAGACGACGCATGGTTCAAAGTTTCCTGCTCATCTGGGCGGATGCCAACATTGATCAATCAAACACTTGTTACCAAAATACCTTGGCACAACTACGAAGTGTCGTGAACGAAGTCAACATTTTTACCCAGCCGGATGACTGTGTCGAGTTTCTAATGAACTTTGGTGGCATGAAAGCTTTCCTGATTTTAGAGGAATCTCTTGGTGAACAAATAGTACCCCGCATTCATGACATTCCTCAACTTGATACCATTTACATTTTTGGTGTTGGCAAACCTCGAGATGAACAATGGACCAAGGAGTGGGTCAAAGTAAAGGGCGTGTATACAGCGATTGCACCCATCTGTGAATGCCTTCAGCAAGACGTAAAACAATACAACCAGGATTCTATTGCCGTAAGTTTTGTCACGGTGAATGAAGAGACTTCCAAACAAAATGTGAATCAATTAGAAGCCTCATTTATGTACACTCAATTATTAAAGGAAATTCTCCTAGGAATGCAATATAACGAAAAATCCGTCAAAGATTTCATCAATTTTTGTAGTAATGGTGACTACGGATCTCCAAACAACATTACTCGATTCGAGAAGGAATATAATGCTAAATTAGCCATCTGGTGGTATACTTTTCCATCATTCATCTATTCTATGCTCAACGGTGCTCTTCGTATACTGCAAGCCGACACCATCATTAATATGGGTTTCTTTATTTGCGATCTTCACCATCAAATTGAAGAATTACATCGCAAACAAATCAGCAGTTATGGTGGAAAGTCTTTCGTGATTTACCGAGGACAGGGTTTATCAACGACGGATTTTGAAAAACTTCAGAAGACACAAGGTGGACTGATTTCATTTAATAATTTTTTGTCTACTAGTAGGGATAAAGAAGTATCCCTCGGATTTGCTCAAGTTGCCTTAACAAAACCTAACACAGTCGGCATCCTCTTCGAAATGACCATTGATCCTTCTGTCTCGTCAGCTCCATTCGGTTCCACTGAGGGGATGGGTTACTTTCAAGCAGAAGAAGAAATTCTTTTTTCTATGCACACTGTCTTTTGTATCGGTGAAATTAAACAAATTGACAACAGCAGTACACTTTATCAAGTGGATCTTAAACTTACTTCGGATGATGATGAACAACTTCGCACTCTTACCAATCGAATACGGGAGGAGACGCCAGGTGAAACAGGATGGCAACGATTGAGTTTATTACTAGTGAAAATAGGTCAATTTAACAAGGCCAAAGAACTGTACCAAGTACTACTCGAACAGACATCCGATCGGAGTGAGATAGCAATTTATCATAATAATCTTGGAAGTGTCATGGATAATCAAGGTGATTATGAGAACGCTATTTGGTATTACGAACAAGCACTTGAAGTCTGGCAGAAAACTCTTCCTCTAAATGACTCCAATTTGATTGTTTCCTACAACAACATCGGTGGGGTATATAAGAACATGGGAGAGTACTCGAAAGCACTTTCGTTTTATGAAAAAGCGTGTGAAATCTGCGAAAAAATGCTTCCTGCAAATGATCCTGATTTGGCTATATCCTACAACAACATGGGTGGAGTGTACGACAATATGGGAGAATACTCGAAAGCACTTTCGTTTTACGAAAAAGCATGTGAAATCTTCAAAAAAACGCATCCTGCAAATCATCCTGAAGTAGCTACTTCCTTTAACAACGTCGGCTTGGTGTATAGCAACATAGGAGAGTACTCGAAAGCACTTTCATTTTACGAAAAAGCACTTGATATATGTCAGAAGACTCTTCCTTCAAATCATCCTTCTTTGGCTATCTCCTACGGTAACATTGGTACGATGTATATGAACATGGGAGAATATTCAAAAGCATTGTCCTCCTACGAGCAAGTAGTTGCAATTCAACAAAACGCTCTTTCTGCAAATCATCCTTCGTTGGCTACTTCCTACAACAACATCGGTGGAGTGTATCAAAAAATGGGAGAGTACTCGAAAGCACTTTCGTTTTATGATAAAGCACTTGAAATTCGACAAAATACTCTTTCTCCAAATCATCCTCTATTGGGTGCTTCCTATAACAACATTGGTGGGGTGTATGATAACATGGGAGAGTACCCAAAAGCACTTTCGTTTTACGAAAAAGATCTTGAAATCTTGAAAGAAAGTCTTCCACCGAATCATTCTGATTTGGCTCAATCCTACAACAACATCGGCTCGGTGTATCACAACATGGGAGAGTACCCGAAAGCACTTTCGTTTTACGAAAAAGCATTTGATATCTATCAAAAGACTCTTTCTTCAGATCATCCTGATCTGGCTACTTGCTTCAATAACATGGGTGGTGTGTATATAAACTTGAAAGATTACTCGAAAGCACTTTCATTATGCGAAAAAGCACTTGAAATTCGACAAAAAACTCTTTCTTCAAATCATCCTTCGTTGGCTACTTCCTACGGTAACGTCGGTATGGTGTATATGAACATGCAAGAGTACTCAAAAGCGCTTTTATGTCACGAAAAAGCACTTGAAATTCAGCAAAGCACTCTTCCTGCAGATCATCCTGAATTAGCTACCACCTACAACAACATCGCTGGTCTTTATTTCAGCACGAAACAGTACTCAAAAGCACTCTTATATTTTGAGCGTGCACTTAACATTTTTCAACATTGTCTACACTCCAACCATCCATATCTTCAAACTGTGAGTGCCAGTATTTATTTCGTAAAAAAGAAATTGCAAACCAACGTTTCATAAATAAAATTGTTTGTTCCTTGCTTGAAATAGCTCTATTTTTCATCACTTTTTCTCATGATGACGAAGAAATACTGTCGAAATAGAAACGCAAAGACGAAGACGACCAATTAGACAATACATACATTTATGGAAGACCTTCTTAGACATGTTTGCATCTGACTCAATATAAGAGAGTTTCTTTGTATAAAAATCATAAGCATCTTGACAATTAACCAATGTAAACTGTCGTCAAACAAATATTTTGGAATGAAATCTAGATAGAAAAAAAATCAGAAAAATATACAAGAATCACTTATCTTGAGCTTGTTTATTCGTTGTTGGATGAGATCCCGAATAATTATGAAGAAGAGAAGAAGCAACAAGTCACACAAAATAAATGACTACACTTTGCATTGCATATTTTATTCTGTAAATATGTTTTACTAAAAAGAAACAAAATATACCACAAGATGCGACGTGAAAAGTTCTACAAATTATATATGACCGCTTTTTAATAGATGCACGCTTTTGCTTTCAAAGTGGTCAAAACTTTGATCAGGTTGATCCCAATCGTGAGCAAACGATACTATTTTTGGTAGGAAATAATCTCGTTTTTTCTTGTTTCATCATTCTATAATTGTTCTTTATAAAGTATAGAGCTTTTCATGCTGTATCTCGTGGTATATTTTTTTTTGTTTTAATAAAATGTATTTAACGATTAAAACATGGCGTGTGGGTGTAGGTGAATAACCAACGCCTACACCCACACCCTAACAAGATTGGAATAT